TATGGAAATTTTAGGTGTAATTAAAATCTAATAGGTGGCTTTCATGTTAGAAACCAATTAGCTACGCAGCTCCCCTTGAATATTTGAGTTGTAACACATGTTTTGTTGTTTGATGTTTTATACCGGATTTTTGATCTGTGACCCTGAGCGAAATTTGAATTAAGTACAAAGTACCCGGCGCATTTAATCAGAAAAGGCTAGCCGAGTTTAATATTTAGCAGGCATAACATCTGCGAATGTATTTGCTAGATTTTTTTTTAACCTGGCCTGATCCAACAGATTGCGTCTGAGATTGCATACTCTCTGAATATATATATATATATATATATATATATATATATATATATATATATATATATATATATATATATATATATATATATTATCATTTAGCAATCCAGGAGTAAATATTTACCTCCATGTCAGATTTTCATAGGTCACAGAATTAGAGAAATATTGATTCAAGGCGAGGTAAGAAAAAAATCCTGTTTTACATAATAATAATAATGATAATAATAATAGTAAAGTTGGAAGGGACCTTGGAGGTCATCTAGTCCAACCCCCTGCTCAGGCAGAACAAAATGCAGTTGTGAGAGGCAAGTTGTAATGCTGTACAGTGGAGAATACAAGCAATCCTCAACTTACAACAGTCCATTTAGTGACTGAAGTTACAAGTCATTGAAAAAAAGTGACATGATTGTTTTTCATACTTATGACCTTTGCATCATGGATCAGAGTTCAGACATTGGACAACTGAGTCACGTTTATGATGGTTGCAGTGTGTCCCAGGGTCACGTGATCCCCTTTGGCGACCTTGTGACAAGCAAAGTCAGTGGGGGAATCCAGATTCGCTTAACGACCGTGTGACTAACTTAACAACTGCAGTTATTAAGTGAATTTTGCCCCAAAATTCACTTAATAACTGTCTCACTTAGCGACAGATATTTTGGGCTCAATTGTCGTCGTACGTTGAGGACTACCTGTATTAGTTCTGAATTTAGGGAAGGCATCACTATTTAATGTTCTCAGGTATTAAAAAAAAAAAAAACTTCCTCTGGGTAGGAAAGGAGCGTAAAGGAAGTCCTCAACATATGACCACAATTTTGGCACGGGAATTTTTATTCTTATGCAATGCAACCATGAAACGAGTCATCAGGTGACCATTTTCTCTGTGATTGTAAAGCCAATTACTTTACATTATTACTGGGGAATCCTGGATCCCTTATTAACACTAAGATTTTTCTGATCAAAAGCAGCCAGTTTGGATAAATAATGATTAGAAATTGCTATGCATGTCATTGACTCTTTCATTCTAATTATTCATGGCCTGTTTCTGCTTGAGCAGGGGTTGGACTAGAAGACCTCTAAGGTCCTGTTCCAACTGAGTTATTCTGTTATTGTCCACTTGAAGCCCATTTTTTAAAATTCTTTTTTCATCCTGCCTCTCTTTCTTCAACCACATCTGATGTTCCTGCTTTGGGCTACCTCGCTTAACGTGACTTCATTTTTCCTGCTTTGCCCCCAACGGGTGTTTGAATCTTTCACACAATTTCCCATTTTCTTTTTGCGTGATAGACTCTTATCATTCCTCACGAAGTTCCTTTCCTTGTTTGGAGCGCGGACAACTTTATTATCTGGAAGGAAATCAATAGCCTGAATTAAACCCACATTTGCTGCTTGGGGATGTCCGTCTAAAACCATTTTTTTAAAAGGAGATCTTCATGAACCAGCCGTTATGGAGGCGTGTTGTTTTACTTCCAATTGGAAATCCCCTTTCTCTATTATCTCTTTGACATTTATAAGATTCTAGTCCTCGGTGATCTATTATTTTTCATTTCTGAAATAACGATGTTGCTTGACATTGGGTTCTTTTATAACGCCAGAGGCATCGTGATACTCAACGTTGAATCTAAATCCACAACAGACACTTATATTTTCTATATTTGCACAATAAACTTAAAGAGACAGCTACCTTTCTTCGTGCAGCTTAAGAAAACCACAATATAACACCCCATTGAGTTCGACCGGCAACATCCACATACAACACAAGTTAAACTGATGACTGGGTTTTACGAGTTAATGTGGAAATTGAGTTTTATTCCAGACGGCTTATATTGAACCGTAAATTAACCAAAGATGTTGCATTCATTCAACAAACAAAAAAGAAACAAAAAAACTCAAGGTTAAAACTGAATGAATTTTACTCAGAAGAAATAATAATAATGATGATGATGATGATGATGATGATGATGATGATAATAAAGTTGGAAGGGACCTTGGAGGTCATCGAGTCCAACCCCCTGCATAGGCAGGAAACCCTACACCATTTCGGACAAATGGCTGTCCAGTTTCTTCTAAAAAGCTTCCAGTGTTGGAGCATTCACCACTTCTGGAGGCAGGTGGTTCCACTGGTTAATTGTTCTCACTGTCAGGAAGTTTTTCTTTAGTTCCAGGTTGCTTCTCTCCTTGATCAGTTTCCATCCATTGCTTCTTGCTCTGCCTTCAGGTGCTTTGGAGAATAGCTTGACTGCCTCTTCTTTGGGGCAGCCCCTGAGATATTGGAAGGCTGCTATCATGTCACCCCTCGTCCTTCTCTCCACTAAACTAGACATCCCCAATTCCAGCAACTGTTCCTTATATGTTTTAGCCTCCAGTCCCCTAATCATCTTTGTTGCTCTTCTCTGAACAATTTCTAGAGTCTCAACATCTTTTTTACATCGTGGGGACCAAAACTGGATGCCGTATTCCAAGTGTGGCCTTACCAAGGCCTTGTAAAGTGGTATTAATACTGAGAACGAGAAAAAAATTAACCAGGGAAGCAGTTTGTCTCCCAGGGTGCAAGGAAAGAGTGGACAGCCATTTATCCAGGATGTCCCAAAGATGTTTTTTTTTTTTTTTTTTTAAAAAGGCAACTGGACTTTGTATTTCTTTGAAGACGTTTTTCTTCTCGTCCAAGAAGCTTCTTCGGTTCAGACTGAAGAACGCAACCAAAGTCAGAACGGAAGAAGCTTCTTGGGAGGAGAAGCGAAACCTCTTCAAAGCAAAACACAACAGTCCAAATGGACTCTCGAAAAAAGCACCTTTGGGGCAACCATCACCTGGAGATTTATTGTCCAGGAGGCAACAAAGACCTGCATCCCTAAATCAAGGACGACAGGTACATATTCGATATATTCAGTGTATTTTCATCTTTTCGGTTCTTTTTCACTCGTTTTCGTAATTTGTAAGCCCCGCAGTCCACCTTGTAGAGGAGATGGATGGCATAGAAATTTAATAAATAAATAAATCCTATCCTTTCGTTTGCCTCACACATTTTCTGGGGGGAAGCGAAACTATATAGAGTCAAATACCGCTGTTATTTTAACTCTTTCGATTTTCCTAAGAAAGCCTGGTCTCTTAAAAGGACATTTTAACAGAATAACAGCATGGCGCGTAGCAATAGCAGGACCCTGGGAGTCCTCCGTATATTTATCTGGGTGGGTCCCAATTAATACTAGAAGAATAGAATAGAGTAGAATAGAATAGAAAATATGGAATAGAATGGAAAGGAAAGGAATGGAATGGGATGGGATGCGATGGGATGGGATGGGATGGGATGGGATAGAATAGAATAGAATAGAATAGAATAGAATAGAATAGAATAGAATAGAAAATATGGAATGGAATGGAATGGAATGGAATGGAATAGAATAGAATAGAATAGAATAGAATAGAATAGAATAGAATAGAATAGAATAGAATAGAATAGAATAGAATAGAATAGAAAATATAGAATAGAATAGAATAGAATAGAATAGAATAGAATAGAATAGAATAGAATAGAATAGAATAGAATGGAATGGAATGGAATGGAATAGAATAGAAAATATAGAATAGAATAGAATAGAATGGAATAGAAAATATGGAATAGAAAATATGGAATAGAATAGAATAGAATAGAAAATATGGAATAGAATAGAATAGAATGGAATGGAATGGAAAGGAAAGGGATAGGATAGGATAGGATAGGATAGGATAGGATAGAATAGAAAATATAGAATAGAATAGAATAGAATAGAATAGAATAGAATAGAATAGAATAGAATAGAAGTTGGAAGGGACCTTGGAGATAAATGGTTGTCCAATCTCTTCTTAAAAGCCTCCAGTGTTGGAGCACCCACAACCTCTGGTGGGAAGCCGTTCCACTGGTTGATTGTTGCTAAGTTAGTTACATGCTTGTTAAACAAATCCGGCTTCCCCCATTGATTTCGCTTGTTAAAAGGTTGCAAAAAGGGATCACATGACCTTGGGACAGAGCAACGGCAATAAGTACGAGTCAGTTGCCAAACCTCCTCCGAATTTTGATCACGTGACCCACGGGGATGATGGCGCAACGGTCGTCAGTGTGAAAAATGGTCGTAAGTCAAGTTTTCTCACTGCTGCCATAACTCTGAAATGGTCACTAAATGAACCCATGTAATTCGACGACTGGCTGCCTGTGCTGAGTTCTGTAAACGGGGAAGGTTGTTATTGTGCTGTTTTGCAAAGCAGTCGTGTCTTCTTAACAAAGTTGTGTCCTTCTGCGGAAAAACAGTTATTTTCACCCCGAGAGTGTAAATTATTCACAGCTTTCTGTATTTTGTTCCCCCTACTGCAAGAACCGTGAATAAGAAAAAAGAAGAATGTTTTTGTCATTCGAAGAAAGGCAGATGATAAAAAAAATAATAAAAACTCTGCTTTATTGCTTAATCTGGACCTGTTTCAGCGATGGCCAATTAAGAGAGGGGGAAGAGAGAAACAAAACTGCTTTTTTTCTTCTTTTCTTTAGATCCAGTTGGGAATTACCCAGTGTTGGAAAACAGATCGATAATTTATAATTGTCTTGCCTGTAGCTGGAAATTAAAGGAATGTCCTTTTTTATATAGAGAGAGAGAGGAAGAATGCCAGCAGTGCCTATTGACGTGGATGTCTTCTGCAGAAGCACCTGTTTTTTATTTAATTTTCTTTTTTCAACCTTATAGGAAATCAATGGGTTGACAGTGCCGTTGGTCAACCAAGACAGAGAAAAAAATGCAGAGAAACGAAACCAGCCGCTAAAATCAGAAAAAGAGGCTTTGTTGATAGGTAAGCTAACTCTCAACGCTCCTTTTTCCCAGCATAATATTGTCCATGCCTTGGAGAAGAATCAGCCTCGGAAGTATTCTGCATTTCAGTGGGTGAGACCCCAAGAAAACTTGGAAACCCCCCCCCCTCCACGATATTTGGAGATGTTGGCTATGTTAAGAAATAAAAACCTGTCTCTGAAACCAAATATTTTTCATAAATCCCATAAATGAAATGTCTTTCTTCATGATTTGGTGGGAACATCTCATGAACTTCGTGTCTCATTCAGGATTTTCAGATCCACCTACAAAGCACGCAAGGATTCATCCATCAGTAGATTAGAGACATGGTGATTTTAGGCCTTCCAAATTCTTGAGTCTCCAGGGCTTCAGGTGGTAGCTAGGATGGATTCAGATGAGTCACCAAACTTGGTTGAAGAACCTCAAGTTGCAGAGGTTCAAAACATATAAGGAACGGTTGCTAGAATTGGCTATGTCTAGTTTAACGAAGAGAAGGACAAGGGGGGACATGGTAGCAGTATTCCAATATCTCAGGGGCTGCCCCAAAGAAGAGGGAATCAAGCTATTTTCCAAAGCAGGAAGGCAGGACAAGAAGCAACAGGTGGAAACTAATCAAGGAGAGAAGCAACCTAGAACTAAGGAGAAACTTCCTGACAGTGAGAACAATTAATCAGTGGAACAACGTGCCTCCAGAAGCAGTAAATGCTCCAACACTGGAAGTTTTTAAGAAGAGACTGGACAGCCATTTGTCCGAAATGGTGTAGGGTTTCCTGCCTGAGCAGGGGGTTGGACTAGATGACCTCCAAGGTCCCTTCCAACTTTACTACTATTACTAAAAGATTGCTCGTTCACGCATCTTATCCTTGGTTTCATGATAGCATGTCATGCAACCGTAGCTTCACTTAATTGACAGGCCTTAATTATCTGCCAGTTATTGGTAGCTGCCCAGGTAAATTTAATTCTCTTTGGGAAGTCCTGAGATCTCGCTCCCCCCCCCCAAAAAATTGCCCCATTTTGAATGAGGGTGTAGTACATGGGCCTAAAATATATATACGCTGGTTTAGAATTGATGGCTGCCCTCTGTGTTGTGTAGGTGTACACTTCGAGAGCAAGCAACTACATTTCATTTTTAATGTGCGCCAATGCGCCCACAGTAAAAAAAACATGACAATAAAGGTTATCTTATCTATCTTATGTTACACCCACAAATTGTTCACGGGAACCTCAAGAGTTCCTTTACCGTGTTTCTTGATCCTTGAACCATGCTTCAGATGGTCACTAAGTCAAGGATAGGTTCTCTGTAGCTATCCATGGATTACTTTTCAGTGCTGCCATCCATGCAATCAAGTAGACTTTGGACGCCCTTGGCCGATCCCCTTACAAGACTAGTTAAGGATGTCCCAAAGGTCCTTTTTTTTTTTCAGGAGGCCACTGAACTTTCTTGTTTTTCTTTGAAGACGTTTCACTCCTCATCCAAGAAGCTTCTTCAGCTCTGACTGGATGGTGAGGAGTGGAAGGATTTATACTCCTTGCAGACAGCTGGACCTTTGCCTTCTTTTTAGAGAGTCTAATAATTACGACTTCCCTTTTCAGCTTTCTCTCGTCCTGCATGCATATCAACCAGGCTAGTTTGGGTGGAGGGTTTAGCACTGTTTCAGAACGACACCAGGTCCCTTTTCAGAAATAGTCTGATTGGCGTAAGTCCACTGGCCTGGCCTCACCATCGTTTCTTTTCTTTAAAAAAAAAGCTTCCTGGGGTGACACCCGAAGAAGGATCTTCACAGAGAATCTTACTATATATTTATCCCAAACTCTTCGGATTGCACGTCGAACAAATTGTTTGTTGAAATCAACAGCAATAGCACTTAGGCTTATATACCGCTTCACAGTGCTGTACGACACTCTCGGTGCTGTTTACAGAGTCCGCCTGTTGCCCCCAACAATCTGGGTCCTCATTTTACCCACCTCGGAAGGACGGAAGGCTGAGTCAACCTTGACCCAGTCAGGATTGAACTCCTGACTGTGGGCAGAGTCAGCCTGCAGTACTGCATTCCAAGTACTGTACCATGAAGGAAGGAAGGAAGGAAGGGAGGGAGGGAGGGAGGGAGGGAGGGAGGGAGGGAGGGAGGAAGGAAGGAAGGAAGGAAGGGAAGCAGGGAGGGAGGGAAGGAGAGAAAGAAGGAAAGGACGGAAGCAAGCAATAGCAATAGCACTTAGGCTTTTATACTGCTTTACAGCCCTATCTAAGCAGTTTACAGAGTCAGCATATTTGCCCCCAACAATCTGAGTCCTCATTTTACTGACCTCAGAAGGATGGAAGACTGAGTCAACCTTGAGCCGGTCAGGATCAAACTGCTGGCAATGGGCAGAGTCAGCCTGCAATGCTGCCTTCCAACCACTGTGACATCACGGCTTTTAATAGCAATAGCCCTTAGACTTATATACTGCTTCACAGTGCTTTACAGCCCTCTCTAAGCATTTTACAGAGACAGCATATTTGCCCCCAAGAATCTGGGACCTCATTTTAGTCAACTGAGAAGGATGGAAGGTTGAGTCAACTTGGTAATAGAGGTGCACTTAAATCTCTTCCCTGTGTGCATGGATGGAATGGGAAGGAGGGAGGGAGGGAGAGAAGAAGGTGGATGGATGGATGGATGGAAGGTGGTAGATTGATGTAGAAGGGGAAAGAAGGAAGGGAGGGAGGGAGGGAGGGAGGGAGGGAAGGAGAGAAAGAAGGAAAGGATGGAAGCAAACAATAGCAATAGCACTTAGGCTTTTATACTGCTTTACAGCCCCCTCCAAGCAGTTTACAGTCAGCCTGTTGCCCCCAACAATCTGGGTCCTCATTTTACCTACCTCGGAAGGATGGAAGGCTGAGTCAATCTTGAGCCAGTCAGGATCAAACTGTGGTTTTGAAGATACGAGTCTCAGGTATATTCATATTCAAAAACTAAAACACAGATCACTGAGACTAAAAATTGATTTAAAAACTTAGCTTTCGTCAGCCTCTGCTGACATCTCAATCCTGGCTAGAACTCTGACGGTGTCAGCAGAGACTGACGAAAGCTAAGTTTTTAAATCAATTTTTAGTCTCAGTGATCTGTGTTTTAGTTTTTGAATATATATATATATATATATATATATATATATATATATATATATATATATATATATGTATGTTTATTTCATGAGATCAGCTTATCTGTGAAAGGTTTTCAAAATGAGAAAAGCAGAAATGGGAAAAGCATGTGGTTTAATTTGCTCGCTAATCTGAATCCTGATGCAACCCATGCTGAAATTATTAAAAAAAAATTCAAGGCAGGCTAATTTCTGAATAGGGTTGATAGCCAACACATGTTCCTCACCAGAGCCACCAAAGAACTCCAAAAACAAGAATTGTATTAGTTGAATGCCTATAAAAAAAGTTATTGGCAAAATCAAGCATAACATGGGAAGCTGCAAGAAATGCTTCTAGCACATCTTTAATTAATATTCATTTCTTCTCTCTCTTTTTTGGGACACTTGGATGTGAACTCTTATTCTTGAAAGCTCAGGGTTTGGGTTGAAATTTATCTCTTGGTGAATGGCTTCAGAAACGCCAGGGCTGACTTTTGAATGAAATTCAGAACGCATTTATGCCCAATAATTATTTTATACCTCTTCTGTTTTGCCTGAATAAATTAACACAGTTGTTGTTGTTTTTTAAAATCATTTTAATGCAGGGATTATATCAACATTCCTTCACGTTCATCCTTTTGGAGCTAATATTGAATATCTCTGGTCGTACATGCAGCAGCTGGACTCTCGGGTAAATTGGATTTATCACTTTCTTCGGGTTTTGAAATTAAGAAATAGAAGACGAGGCAGGCAGCAGATTCTCCAGTTCCCATCTTTTTCACAAAATGCAAATAGAGCCGTTTTAGATCCTCACGCCTGCTTTTTATTAAAAATAAAATAAAAAATAAATAAATCCGGGGGACACGTAATGCGGAACAAAAGTAAGGGGATTCATTTGGTGTCCTGCACAGAGTTATCTGTGTTATCCTGTGTTATCTTGCACAGAGTTAACACTGATAGCAGTGTTCCAGTATCTCAGGGGCTGCTCCAAAGAAGAGGGAGTCAAGCTATTTTCCAAGGCCCCTGAAGGCAGGATAAGAAGCAACGGATGTAAACTAATCAAGGAGAGAAGCAACCTAGAACTAAGGAGAAACTTCGTGACAGTTTAGAACAATTAACCAGTGGAACAACCTGCCTCCAGAAGCAGTAAATGCTCCAACACTGGAAGTTTTTAAGAAGAGACTGGACAGCCATTTGTCCGAAATGGTGTAGGGTTACCAGCCTGAGCAGGGGGTTGGACTAGATGATCTCCAAGGTCCCTTCCAACTTTACTACTACTACTACTACTACTACTACTACTACTACTACTACTATTATTATTATTATTATTATTATTATTATTATTATTATTATTATTATCTGATCCATTCTACTCCTTTATAACCACTCATTCTTTACTGCATTTAAATCCAGGGACTCAAATCAGATTAGAATAACAGAATAACAGAGTTGCAAGGGACCTTGGAGGTCTTCTAGTCCAACCTCCTTCTCAGGCAGGAAAACAGACGAAAGTTTGTCCAATCTCTTCTTAAAAACTTCCAGGGACGGAGCACCCACAACTTCTGTAGATCTTTTACCCATGAAAACATTGACATAAGCAAAAACTCTTGGCTACTTCCTTGTGTTTCCCCCTTGGTGGATTTCCCGGTGGTGGACAGTTCTCAGAAGCTTCCATAAGTTTGAAGAACAAAGCAAATTGTTCCACTGCTTAATTGTTCATGCAGAATGTTTTGTATGATCTCCAGTTTCCCAAGAGCTTTATGTTCTGGTTCCTGCTACTCCAGTTTCCCAACAGGAAAAATCAGTGTGCAAGAGAAGGCTAGGTAACCATCGCTGGCTTACAAGTCGATATGATAACTTTCCTAGGTATCTAACTGCACCGAACAATGTCAGAAGTTCCTGCTGTTTGTTTCTTTTCCATTTCTTTTTTCTCTTCCCTCGCTTTATTCCTTCTATTCCCTTCCCTTTCCTGCTTTGCCATGGTCTTCATTTCAATTGGTTTTTTATACTAAGGAAAATATTTTTAATAAAATATATATACGGAAGAAATCACAGAAATATCTCTCCTCCTCTTCCTCCTCCTCCTCCTCTTCTTCTTCTTCTTTTCTCCTCATCCTCTTCCTCCTCCACCACCACCTCCTCCTCCTCCTCTTCTCTTCTTCTTCTCCTCCTCTTCCTCCTCCCTCCACCACCACCACCTCCTCCTCCTCCTCTTCTTCTTCTTCTTCTTTTCTCCTCTTCTTCTTCTTTCTCCTCCTCTTCCTCCTCCTCCACCACCACCACCTCCTCCTCTTCTCTTCTCTTCTTCTCCTCTTCCTCCTCCCTCCACCACCTCCTCCTCCTCCTCTCTCCACACCTCCTCCTCCTCTTCTTCTCTTCTCTTCTCTTCTCTTCTCTTCTTCTTCTCTTTTCTCTTCTCTTCTTCTTCTCCTCTTCCTCTTCCTCTATCCACCACCACCTCCTCTTCTTCTCTTCTCTTCTTCTTCTCCTCCTCTTCCTCCTCCTTCCACCACCACCACCTCCTCCTCCTCCTCTTCTTCTTCTTCTTCTTTTCTCCTCTTCTTCTTCTTTCTCCTCCTCTTCCTCCTCCTCCACCACCACCACCTCCTCCTCTTCTCTTCTCTTCTTCTCCTCTTCCTCCTCCCTCCACCACCTCCTCCTCCTCCTCTCTCCACACCTCCTCCTCCTCTTCTTCTCTTCTCTTCTCCTTCTACTCCTCTTCCTCCTCTTCCCCCTCTTTCTCCTCCCTCCACCACCACCACCGCCTCCTCCTCCTCTTCTTCTTCTTCTTTTCTCCTCCTCCTCTTCCTCCTCCTCCTCTTCCTCCTCCTCCTCTTCTTTTTCTTCTTTTCTCCTCCTCCTCTTCCTCCTCCACCACCACCTTCTCCTCCTCTTCTTCTCTTCTCTTCTCCTCCTCCGCCTCCTCTCTTCTCCTCCTCCTCCTCCTCCTCCTTCTTCTTCTTCTTCTTTTCTCCTCCTTTTCCTCCTCCACCATCACCACCACCTCCTCCTCCTCCTCCTCCTCCTCCTCCTCCTCTCCCTCCTCCTCCTCTCCTCTCTTCTTCTCCTTCTTTCTTCTTTCTCCTTCTTCTTCTTCTTCTTCTTCTTCTTCTTCTTCTTCTTCTTCTTCTTCTTCTTCTTCTTCTTCTTCTTCTTCTTCTTCTCCTCCTCCTCCTCCTCCTCCTCCTCCTCCCCTTCCTTCTTTTCATTCCTCCCTAGATCTCAGCGAATGAATTAGAAATGCTTTTGGTGAGGCTTCCACGTATGTTTAAGCAAGAGTTTTCCGGCGTCGGAGCCACACTGGAGAAACGGTGGAAATTTTGTGCCTTCGAAGGGATTAAGACAACTTGACCATGTGTTGGCTCAGAACCCCCAAGGGAAGAACACGTGATGGATCGCGATGGCAGAAGCGAGTCAAAGTATTAAAGGAGGAGAATTAGGTTTGGCTTATACACTTCCAAGCCTAGTTTTAGTTGCATTTGTGATGTCCTCTTGTGAAAGTGTAGTCGTGTGCCAGTTCCAAAACCAAAAGGGGGAAAAAAACGCTCCTGAAATGTTTCCTATGAAAACTCAAAACAAAACAAAACAAACAAAAACAACCCCAACAACTCTACAATCATAATGATCTCATTATTTAAACTACACACCTGTTATTAGCTCACCTTGAGCCCACTGGAAGAAGATTTCCCAGTTTCTAAGCGCCAATGATGTCTGTGTCCGAAGTGGTAGATCTTCCTCTGAAACGTCACGCCTAAGACTCTTCCCGTTTCATAAGATGACAAAGAATAATAATAAAAAAAAAATCCAATTTCATAGTGAGAAACGAGTATACCAAAAGCAAACTTGAAAAAAAAAAACAAAAAAAAACAAAAACAAAAACTATGTGTTTGAACAGTTATTGTGTTTTGTAAAATTTAAGTTATCTGCTCTACCAGGGACTTTTTTTGCCTTATTGCCAGGGGCCTGATAAAATGTGGTTGGATTCTTTTAAGGATGCTTTATGCAGAATATTATTTTTCTAATGTAACTATTCTCCATTCCAAGTTCCTTTAACATTGGATTGCATATCAATTTTCATAAACGTGTAAATAAAGAGGAAGGCAGTGTTACTGTATTGTATTTGGTATGTAACATTCAGGGTTATGTGCCTGAAAATAAGTATCCGGTTGCATTACTGTTACAGATTTTATAGCAAATATATTGAATTTTTTTTTCAATAAATAGGAATTCTATCATATTCGGACTTTTACAAGCTGTTGTTTTTTTTAAATATATATATATGGTCCTCTCCCTCCCTCCATCTTCTCATATATTTTACAATGCCTTATTATTATTATGCATTAAAGTACAGGTAGCCCTCATCTTACGATGACAATTTAGCCGATTGCTAAATTGCTAAGCAAGATGTCGTGGTTCCGACAGATGAAACTTTTCAAAGAACCTCGAGGCATTGTTTACCTTAAAGAATCTTTATTTGAGTAGCATAACATCAACACTAACACAGTCGTAGCCAAAAACTGAATTCCCCTCCCCTGAGCACATAGTATCAAAGTACAATTCCTTCCTCCAGTTAACAGTCATAAATCACATTTTCCAATTAGTTTGAAATGCAGGCTTCCCTTCCAGCTCTCCAGCCCGCCAATTCTTATCATCTCCTATTTCAATAACCTTGGTTCTCACCCTAGGCCCAGTATTGTTAGGTCTAGCTAAACTCTCCTGCACATTCCTCCCTCCCCCCCAGCATCCTCTAACTCTAGCTCTAACTCTAAGAGTAAAACACAAGAAGAAAATGATTGCATCTCCATCTGTTGTCAAAGAAAAAACATCCGATGTTAGCAGCGTTGACACAAGACAGTTGTTAAGTGAATTTTGCCCCATTTTATGATCTGCTTAGTAACACGGTTGTTAAACAAATCCGGTTTCCCCATTGACTTTGCTGGACAGATGGTCGTAAAAGGTGACACTGCAGTGGTCATAAATACATGCCAGTTGCTAAGCACCCAAATCTTGATCACATGACCATTGAGGATGCTGCAGCGGTCATAAGTGTGAAAAAACGGTCATAACTCATATTTTCCAATGTCGTCGTAACTCTGGACAATCCCTAAATGAACTGTTGTAAGTCTTATAATTCACATATAGGTAATCCTTGACTTACGATCACTAAGTACAGTCTACTAAGCAAGACATTTGTTTTGCTCCATTTTATGACCATTTTTTGCCACCGTTCTTAAGCAAATCCCTGCAGTTCTTAAGTCAGTAACCTGGTTGTTAAGCGAATCTAGCTCCCCCCCCATTGACTTTGCTCATCAGAAGTTCACAAAAGGGGATCACATGACCCTGGGAGGGTGGAAATGCTGCAACCGTTGTAAGTACATGCCAGTTTCCAAGCTTCAAAATTTTGATTACCTGACCCCAGGGATGCTGCGATGGTCGTAAGTGTGAAAAAACGGTCATCGGTCACTCTTTTAACTTCGACCGTCACTAACCGAACGGTTGTTAAGTCAAGAAATACTTGTGTGTAATTAACATACAGATACACACACACATTTATAATAGTTGTGGTTTTGTAAGGTAAGTGGGGAGCAAATATTTTCCATTGGTTGAATTGGGGTGGGTGGGCGATGCTAGCTGGCCTCCTGAACCCCCAAAGACTTGGAGGGACAAGACATTGGAGCCTTTTTGGGCCAGTTTCACAATGGTCCACAATGAGGGTCCAATATCTCAGGGGCTGCCCCAAAGAAGAGGGAGTCAAGCTCTTCTCCAAAGCCCCTGAAGGCAGGACAAGAAGCAACGGATGGAAACTCATCAAGGAGAGAAGCAACCTGGAACTAAGGAGAAACTTCCTGACAGTGAGAACAATTAACCAGTGGAACAACCTGCCACCAGAAGCAGTAAATGCTCCAACACTGGAAGTTTTTAAGAAGGGACTGGACAGCCATTTGTCCGAAAAGGTGTAGGGTTTCCTGCCTGAGCAGGGGGTTAGACTAGATGACCTCCAAGGTCCCTTCCAACTACTATTATTGTTGTTGTTGTCGTTATTATTATTATTATTATTATTATTATTATAGGGTCTTTTTTTCCAAATAGGGGGGAAATTGCTATCCTATTAATTGATTTTTGTTTAAAAAAAATTCCTTATTCCCAGTAGGATAAATTAAGCCAGTGGGAGGGAGAGAAAAATAAGTAGGAAAACACGCAATGCCTTTCCAATGTGTATGGTGGGGACGCATCAGAAGAACACAATAATGTCGGTCGTTTCCAGATTGTTTTTTTTTTTTTTCAACCGTTTCTGTCTGGTTCCCTGGACAGTAAATTGACGGTGCAATAAAAATGGCAGCCGTCCATCATGGCTAGGAAAGAAAAAGGATGCGACGATGTGCTGGATTGTGGGGTCAAATGGCTCCTTCTCTTATTCCTTGGGGACACAAAACGAAACTGCGGATATTTTTCACAAAGTTGCAGAATGCACAAGTGGTTAGATAAGGTTTAGTTTAGGTTTTTGTTTTGTTTTTTCCCCCTGAATGAAGTCCAGAATTTTCTGCTGCTGAAAAATTCCACCCAGCTGTTTTAAGCATTTTCATACTTTCATATCTTTCTCTCTCTTTTCTCTCTTTCTCTCTCCCCCTCTTTCCCTCTTTCTCTTTCTCACTCTATCTCTCTTTCTCTTTGTTTCTCTATCTCTCTTTTTCTCTCCCTTTCTTTTTCTTCCTCTCTTTCTCTCCCTCTTTTCTCTCTTTCCGTCTTTCTCTCTCCCTTTCTCTTTCTCTCTGTTTCTCTTTCTATCTCTCTTTCTCTCCCCCCTTCTTTTTCTTCCTCTCTCTCTCTTTCCCTCTTTCTCTTTCTCTCCCTTTTTTCTCTCTCTCTTTCTCTCTGTTTCTCTTTCTATCTATCTCTCTCCCTTCTTTTTCTTCCTCTTTCTCTCTTTCTCTCTCTCTTTCCCTCTTTCTCTTTCTCTTTCTCCATCTCTCTCTCTCTCACACACACATATCTATCCATTTTATACTTCACTGTATCCTTTTACTAATTCTACTCCTGAAATATATCAGGAGAGACTGCTTTCATTTTTTCCTAGACCTAGGGGGGGAAAAAATCACCCAATATAAGGGCTCATGCGACATTCCCGGTCTGCCAAATTCTCGGTTTTCCTTGTGCTTTATTTTAATAACCCAACGACGATGGCGGTTCCTACATGGGTGTGTCGAGAGACAGCAAAAGCTTTCACACAATAAGATGTATTTGATTAAATGAAGCCAGATGGTGACTGAGAACCACCGGTGGGAAGGATACGGGGACATGGGGGGGGGGGTGTTTTTCATTTTTTTTCGTTTTGTTTTGTTTTTATTTTCCAGCGTGCAGTTTGCAAAGCTGTAGTCCCCTTCGCCGCAGAGCCTGTGTTGTGCAGAATAAGGACACCAGGTGCCCTTTGCAGCCCCCCAACTTCCTACGACCATCTGCTGCGGCCACATCCATCTCTTTTATTGGACTGCTATCCCCAGATGTCTCCGATGCCACCCGTTTTCAATGTTATTTCTTCCTTTCCTAGGTGGAAATGGTTGATGGGGCTGAAATCCAGAGGCAGAGTTTTCCTTCCCTTGAAGGGGGCTTAGCGGTTCACAATAGTAATAATAATAATAATAATAATAATAATAATAATAATAATAATAATAATATCATTTGCCTATAAGCAAAAACTGATGGGATCATAAAATAGAGAAAGTCATAGAAAATGATAAAATTAAACTGCTCTGGGACTTCAGAATTCAAACAGACAAGCACCTGCAACATAACACCCCAGACTTAACAATTGTCGATAAGAAAGACAAAAAATCTGGATAGTGGACGTGGCAGTGCCTGGAGACAGCAGAATAGAAGAGAAAGAACTGGAGAAGATAACAAAATACAAATACCTACAAATAGAAATAGAAAGACTGTGGCAAAAGCAAGCAAGGGTAGTACCAATAGTCATAGGCTCCTTGGGTGCAATCCCAAAACAACTGGAGCACCACTTGAACACCATTGGCATTGACAAATTCGCTATTAGTCAATTGCAAACGGCGGCCTTACTAGGAACTGCTTCCATCCTGCGACGATATCTGTAATACCATCAAATATCCACATCTGCCTATCCCAGGTCCTGGGTAAGGACTCGATAGGTAGACAAAATGCCAAATCCAGTCTGAACATCTGGCTGACTGTGCGATGATCCATAATAATAATAATAATAAAGCTGGAAGGGACCTTGGAGGTCATTTAGTCCAACCCCCTGCTCAGGCAGGAAACCCTACACCATTTCGGACAAATGGCTGTCCAGTCTCTTCTTAAAAGCTTCCAGTGTTGGAGCATCCACCGCTTCTGGAGGCAGGTGGTTCCACTGATTAATTGTTCTCACTGTCAGGAAATGTCTCCTTAGTTCCAGGTTGCTTCTCTCCTTGGTTCATTTCCCTCCCTCCATCTCCTTCCTAACGATGGGATTTAAGTTGACTTCCAGATGAACCGCTAATCTTAAATGGCAGCCTCATGATCACTAGCTAATTTTCACACAACAAATTCTTCTCAACAATTCCCTCTTCTGCATCCGACTCAAATGTCCCGAGAGCAATTATTCTGTTGACTAGCTTTCTCTTCCACACAGAAAAAAAGGTACCCAAGGAAAAAAACCTGACTCTGATGTTCAAATGATATTCAGTCAAATGTAAAGCATCTTCCTTGCACCCACTCTGGGACATCCTGATCCCAGTCAAAAAGAAAAAAAAAGAAATCCATTCTTTGCCCACAGACGGATCCCAGCCTGGCGTGAGCAAACTTTTAGACTTTAGTCTCCTTGTGTTGCGCTGTGTGTAGCGCCTTTAATTAGTTCATTATCTGATTTGTGTTTGTTTTACTGGAAGTCTTCAGGGTGAAAGGAATTGCAACAGTGGGTGGGGAACATCATCTTATCAACCCACATAATAAAAGATGTATAATGACAAT